TGATGCATTAGAAAGCATTATAACAAACTGCATCACAACATGGTATGGGAACTGTACTGTGGTGGAGCGGGAATCACTACAGCGGGTGGTGAAAACAGCCCAGTGCATTATCGGGACTCCACTCATTGCCCTCGAGAACATCCAGAGCAAGCGCTCTCTGCGTAGGGCTCTGAACATTGTGAGGGACTCCTCTCATCCTGCACACAGACTCTTCAGCCTCCTGCCCTCTGGATACCGCTACAGGAGCCTCCGGGTCAGGACCAGCAGTATCAGAGACAGTTTTCTTTCACAGAGGAGTCACTCTCTTGAACTCTCATCCCGTTAAAGCATGCTAATGGCACTTAGTTAAATGTTATATAATGTAACTCATGTAAATATTGACAATAACAACTTTATATCATCACTTGGGAGTAACTTCAAGTTTTTGTTCACAATGCTTTTTTTTTAAATCCAGCATGAGTTGTACGTATTTTGGGATGTATTTACTCCATGATCAGATGTTGCTTTCATGGAAATGCACCATTTTACTCCATTTACCTTTAGATATACATTGATATTAACAGACCATTGCTAAATATATGGCAGCAAAAGATAATAAGGGCTTAGTTTTAGGGTTGAAAACATTTGCAAGAGTCACAACTTCAGTGCAAAAGCAAAAAACAAATCACAGTTGGATTATTCACTTCATCTTTTTGGCTTTTGAGAGCCTGCATACAAAAATCCTAATAAATCTCAATTGCGTTCAAACTACCGCAAAAATGGTTAGAAATAAGCAACTGAGTAAAGAAACAAAAGTACAGATTTGTACATAAAGGAAAGAAGAATACACAGAAAGAGAAATTGCAAAATTCCTAAAGGTGTTTGACAAAGGAGTCCACGACACTCTGAAGAGACTAGAGGAACCTGGAAGTTATGATGATAGAAAAAGACCTGGACGAAAGAGAGTTACTACAAAAGCAGAGGATAAACATAGCATTGTCACCAGTAAGAAAGATCGGTGAAAGACAGCACCACAAATAAGGGAGGAAATCAACATGACAAGGTCGAAACCCATATCTCTGACAACCGTGAAATGACGTTTGAGAAAGGCTGGTCTGAAGGGTTGTGTATCTGTGAAAAAACACTACTTTGTCCACAGAACAAGAAAAGGAGATACGAGTGTGCAAAAGCTCACACAAATTGGACTAATGATGACTAGAAACAAGTTCTCTGGACCGATGAAAGCAAGTTTGAACTGTTTGGTTCAAAACGCAGAGTCTATGTCCACAGACAAACTTGTGAACATCTAAAATCACTGTGTGTTACATCCACAATTAAGCAAGGAGGTGGTAGTTCCATGGTATGGGGATGTTTTGCAGGTGATGGAGTAGGAGATTTGTTTGAAGTAAAGGGTATCATGCAGAAGGAACAGTATCACTCCATCCTCCAGCACCATGCTGTTCCATCTGGACTAAGACTTGTGGGTCGCAAGTTTGTTTTGTGGAACGAATGCCTGGTATATGCCAAGCTGTTGTTAAAGCCAGAGGAGGTTACCTTAAAGAAAGCAAAGTCTAAGCAACAATAACTCAAATACCTAATAATTACAGTCAAAATGTCTTCTGATAAGTTACTCTTTACACAATAGTCATGTTTATTGTGTTGCAAATTATACATATGAAACTATGATCTTTTTTTGTACAAATCTGATCTTGCTTCCAAACTTTTGGCCTGTAGTGTATATATACTCATCATGGTGGCACAAGAACAGGCCTTGAGCACCAGAGCAATAGAGGCCCAGATCTACCATACCAGGCAAGATCCCAGGTGCAGGCTGTGCAAAGAGGGCCCTGAAACAGTCCAACACCTAACAGCAGGATGTAAGATGCTGGCAGGAAAAGCATACATGGAATGGTATAGTGTACAGCACAGGTGTCAAACTCAAGGCCTGGGGGCCAAATGTGGCCCGTGAAACAATCATATCTGGCCCACAAGATCCTATCATATTTGTATTATTATTGGCCCACCAGTATGAGGTCTGCAGATTTCCTTCAGGATAATAATGTAAACTTTAGCCCCATTATTTAAAATTTCCTCAATAAACCACAAAAATTCAGGAAATTAAAGAGTAAGGAAGATTTGATAAATAGTCAAGAATGTGGGGGAAAAAATATTTGATGTTTTATTTCATGTTTTCAATTTGCAGTTCAAGATTACAAGTCAAACATGATTGGTTTTTTACTTGATGCTTTGATTTTGTTCAACTCAGTATTTAGACTTGTGTCATTTTAGATTCCAATTTTAAATTTTAAGTTATATTTTGACCTTTTCTACCTGAGTTCAACGTTCTCCTTGTGTATTTGCTCCTTAAAAGCATTTTTTTCCATTTTTAATATCATGCTCTGATCTTTTGAACTAATAAATAAAAATTGAATAAAAAATATAAATAAAATAAAGTTTTCTATCTCAGATTGCCTTTAAACTTATCTTTTTTGAATTTCAAAATGACTTATAATCATTGCTTTTTTTGTTTTGTATATTTTTTTTTAAAAGGAGGTTGACTATTTTGGTGAAATGTTGACCCTGTTTGGCCCTCAGGTTAGACCTAAATCCAGATTATGGCCCTTGCTCTGGTTGAGTTTGACACTTCTGGTGTACAGGAACATCTGTGCAGAATATGGACTGGAAACCCCGAGGTCAAAATGGGAAGCACTTCCCAAGGTGATGGAGAATGACCGAGCCAAGATCCTGTGAGACTTCCAGATACAGACCGACAAAATGGTAATGGCCAATCAACCAGACATTGTAATTGTAGACAAACAGCAGAGTAAAGCCGTTGTGGTAGATGTCGCCATCCCAAGCGATCAGAAAGAAGGACCACTAGAGAAACTAGAGAAGTACCAAGGGCTCAAAGAGGAGATAGAGAAAGCCTGGAAGGTGAAGGCAACAATGGTGCCTGTGGTCATCGGGGCACTCGGGGCAGTAACCCCCACACTGGAGAAGTGGCTCCAACAAATCCCTGGGGAAACATCAGACATCTCGCTCCAGAAGAGTGCGGTTAGGATACTGCGCATGACCCTCAAGCTCCCAGGCCTCAGGTAGAGGACCGGAGCTTGAAGAGACACAATACTGCCCAGAGTGACTGAGAGAAAAGTATTTTTTCATATATCTAGGTATGCATATATATCTATCTATGTTGTAAATATTATCTGATACTTGCACTATTGCACTTCTGGCTAGATGCTAAACTGCATTTCACTGCATTTTTCTGAACAAGTGTAATGACAATAAAGTTGAATCTAATCTAATCCAAACCAAAGATCTTGCCTCGTTTATGAGCCTCAGGTCGGGCAACTTGACTTGTTTTCCTCATCAGCATTTCCTCACATTGGCTTTGTCGGTATGGTCTTCCTAACCCTGATCCTGGTTCACTATTTAACTCTTTAACAGCCTCTTAGCTTTAGCCATGTGCGTGTCTGCATATATTTGAGAATACTCATGATGGAGAGCTTGGAGTGTGAGAAGATACGAGTTCTGCTGTTTACCTCCATTTAAAAAGCAGCTTATTGATTATTATTTAATATATATTTGATGTGTGTAAATGTTCTGATGATTATAGAAATAGTCATGTTAGATCAGTATTCACAAACTTTGTGTCTCTCCTTGGTCATCCAGCCTCGTGAATCTGAAGGTTTAATTGAAGTCATAAATCTGTATCTCGGCATGTCTGACATTATTTCCTCGCTGCAGCGTCTTTAATGAATTTGTGTGACTGTTAAATGAGCTGTGTGCGACCTTCCTGATACCCCATAATGCCTCCTGAGATAAGGTTTCCATGACGACGGAGCGGGACAGTGATGCCTGGTTGCTCAGGTCACCTACACTCCCTTATATGTGTTGTTTCATAATGCTCAAAGATATCTACGCTCTCCTTCTCCTCATTAGTATAGTTTACTTTAAAGGAGAGTGGAGAGAGAAACAGGAGAAGTGTTTTTCATCTGGAGTCAATCTGACACTTCCCAAAGAGGAGGAGGAGGGGGAAACTCACTCCACTGCACAGGAATATTTCCCCTCTTTTTATACGGAGGTTGCTGGTTTGACTGTCAGTCTTGACCTTTTGCTTTATGTCTCCCATGTTTCCTCGCTCTATTCAGCTTTCCGACTTAACAAAGGCTAAACTGCCGAGGGAGAAAAACAACCAGCAGAAACCATCATCTTTCAGTCGTCTGAGAAAAAACGAATTCTCTTTTCCTGACTGAGCCAAAATCTAAATCTTCATTCAGGTATAATAATTTATCACAATGTGTTTTTTAACACATGCATAAAACTCATGAAATGTCCCGCAAGTGTCCATGTGGGCTGCATGTGTAAATGCATAAAGCTGGAGTAAAATGTCCTGTAAATTTTTTGCAGGGTCAACGTGAGGAAAAACAATGAGATGTGTGGCAGGTGGAGCGACAAATTACAGGATGACTAAAAATATCTGAGGATGAAGAAGAAGAAGAATCATTCCTGCAGAAATCATGAAATCCTCTCAGTGATGGAGATGCTGAAATAAATGGTGGAAACGTCAATGAAAGAAGTCTTGGAGCTCCTCTGAGATCTTCTTCTCAGGACTCCAGCTGTGCTAATAAAAAGGTCTTCTATCTGCCTGTCAGACATGTTTCAGGGATGAGAGTGCCGCTGAAGCTGAAGATAAAGAAAAAGAAGATTGGAGGGAATCTGCAAGGCCCATTAAAGAGGCGGAGAGCGACTTTTCACTAATGATGGAGGAGAACAATCAGCTGACACTCAGTACGTTTACATGCGTGAACGTGTCCTCCTCCCCAAAACTAGGGGGCTATTTGGGTCTTTTCAGCGGCGCTGTTTCTGACCTCATACAACCGTTAACAACAACAGCAGGTCCGTGCCAGACATCAGAAGTGTCTACAACTGCTGCTGGGCATTTTGGAGCAAGAAGATGGAGCATCGTACAGCGTTGTTTTTGTCCTACATGATGGACGCGCTACTTTTTCTGCAGATGAGACGAACGCTACTCCTCCTCTGCCGCAATATCACAGGACGGGAAAACGTTGCTGATGTGTTGTAACGCTTGTATTGACAGGATATTGACAAACTTGCTGCAAATGGGAAACAACAGCAACTTTAGAGATAGATGTTACATTTTTGTGATTGTTCCCTAAAAGTCAGGGTTGATTAACGTAAAGAAAAAGTTCCCTCTTCATTTCAGAGCAGATAAAACAGCATCTATGATTTCCAATTCTTCGTTGAAAGGCGAAACGTCCAGTTGTCCTTTCCATGCGGTGATTTCCAAATGCACTTCTTATTTTTTGCTTTTTCCTGCTGAACTATCTCTCTCCTCTCTGTGGTTCATTCTGATTGTCCATCCTCTGGTTTCTCTGGTTGCTCGTTTCATGTCCATGCTGGCAAACCTCTACATGTCTCTCTGTTTCAGATCACGGCCAAATCCTTGTTATATCACAGAAAAACCACTTGGCCGCAAACCTGCTCATTTCCAAGCTTTAAAGTTCCCTTCACTGTCTCCTCTCTGAATCTTATCTCTGTGTGGTTATGTGTAAACTCTGCACACAGATGGACGGGGAATCAAACCTCCCTGCTCTCTCTGTGTGCTGACAGAGTTAGCCTTTAAACCCCTGCTTCCTCTAAAGCCGTCTCTCTGTCAACAGCCGCTCCACCGGGGTCACATCTCAGTAATCTTAGTCCATCTGAGGAGGAGATTCCTCCATCCTGTTCCTGATCAAGTCCTAATTTCAACCCCCAGGGATGTTTGGAGGAGATCACAAAGTAAGCCTCTTTATTTCAGGCTGAAAAAGCAAAAATAAACAGTCTCAAAGCAGATACTAATGGAGCAATGTTATCATTAAGGTGGATCCTGATAAAAGTCGCCTCAAAGGGATATTCCGGCATAAAATAAATTTAGGGTCAAACACATCGTAACACCAAGTTAGACACCCCCTCCAGAGATGAATGTTGCCGACCGCATGCTTTTCTAGTTATACCAACTTTAGTAATGACCGCAGGATAGCAATACACAGCGGTCTGAGGAGCCATAAACAAACCTCAACCAAAATGCCACTCTTTTACGGACAACAGCGGGGTGAAGCAACTCAAGGAAAAACATATGATCATTTCTTTATCATTTCCTTGAAGTAATGATCATCATCTTAATCATTTTGCACTGCAGACACAATAGTTCTTCTGCCTTAGCGTCTCGGTCTGATTGTATTTCCATGAAAAAATGATCATAAATGTTCTTCCTTGAGTTTTTAGCATTTATGAAATACTTTAATTTATATTCTTACCTTTTTATGGTGCCCAAAACTAACAAGATAAATGATTTGATTATCACCTTGTTCTCTGATTCTGTTTAAAGAGAGAAATCGAATTCATGTTTGTGAAAAATAAAGTATTTGAAGAGTCTTCTCATACGTGATTGAAAGATGAAACACTTCATCTATAAAGTTTGTTTATAGATGGAAGTTGACAGTCATTTAGTTGGGTTGAAATGGTTAAAAAAAAAATAGCTGAGTGGTGAAATAAATGATCTGAGTTAAGTTTGTAGCTGGCGCCCTCTGGTGGCAGAGTTTCTGAAATCCCTGTCAACTCGATGACGCCGAAAAAACGACTGAAACCCACAACCTGCACATCCTCTGCTACAGACAGTGTCACAGTTGTATACAGGAGATGTTTACTTCAGTCTCTGAGACCACCACAGGAAGGATCTTTAGTCTTTAACTCTACAGCACTTCCTGTTTTTGTTTTTAAAAAGCGCCACATAAGTAAAGTTTAGTATTATAACTAAAGAAACATCTTTAAAAGCATTTCTACATTTTATTTGTTGTAAGTTTGTCCTTCGCTGTTGTGGTTGCTGAGAATAAATGTAATAAAAATGATGATCTGTTTCTGCATCATTGAGGGGCTTTTCCCACGGAGACGACCAAAACAAACAAATATCAAGTTTAGTCACGAAGTCTGATTTTAGTTGTTAGCCTAGAACGCTAATGGAAGACTGCCGTCTTTGTCTGTCTGTCAACCAATCAGAGCCTTGGACAGCCAATCAAAGACTGGAGTCTCAGCGGAGCAGTGATGGTGCAAAAACTTTGATAAAATACTCGATGTTGGCACAAATATCATCCAAATTTATCATCATATGAATATATTCCGATCTAACTCCAAATTTCCGCCGCATCCACAACGACCGTGATTTTTGCCATACGCCAATTCCTACCGGATTCGTCTGTGAGGCGAATTTCATGGCAGATTACGGCTAGAGGGAATTGCGAGAACTCACAAGAACCCGCAACTTCACATTCAATTGCGCAAAAACGAGTTGTCTTTATAAAGACAGACACATAGACATATAAGCAGTAGATTGTGTCCTTCCAGAGGAAGAAATCTATTTCTAGACCTCTAGAACCAGCATCTCCTCATTAATGGATGTCTAAAAACCTTTCACTTGTTTGTCTCCACCTTTTCGCATAGTGTGAAAGACAATCCACCTGAAACAAGGAGTGTTTTATTTAGAAGAGAAGCTGGATGTTTTATTTTGTGTCTGTGCCCGACTTCCTTTCCACCATGGGTTAATCTGTTAATGTGCTGAATTTATCCGGCATGGAAATTGACACGTTAACTTGAATGGTTACATTCAGCTACAATCGGCGGATACGACCTTTTCGTTGCCGTTCATGAACAGTAATACTGTTAACAGAGTGTCAGAGAGTAAAACAGAAACACACAGATAAATATCAGAGCTGACTTTATTATTGGAGTAAAAGAAGTTCCTGTGTAACACAGTACAGAATGTGAGTGAATGTAAACTGCAGCTGAGTGGAAATGTTTCAGAGAAACTCTTGTGTCCCAAACCACATCTGATCCCTGTGTTCTTTGTAACATGGAAAGAAAAGACTGTTGAGGTAAGCAAGTCAAGGACCAATCAGACGAGAGATCATGACCTAGGACCAGGAAGTAGACTGAGCCGCGGAGCTCAGGAAGAAATGAACTTCCTGGAGATGAAGAATTAATAAAAGACTAATATGTCTTAAGGTGGGAGGAGATAATACTTTACACACACTAACACACACTCTCACACTCACACACAGCTACATCATCTCTGGTAACTGGTTAGTTAGTGGGGGAGCTCGTGGGGAACCAGTTTGTAGTGGGAACCACAGGATGGGCAGCGCTGGGCCTCGCCCTCATGAAGCCAGAACCAAACCACGGCCGTGTTGTCTTCTTCACCTGCAGAGAGGAAACAGAGTGAGAGACGCAAACAGTGAACCAGTGAGAGAAAACTGGAGGAAAACCAGTGAAAACATGAGCCTCCAGTTTAGAATGAACATGAATTTAAACGTGTCTGAACTTTTTCCTTCAGCTTCACAGACTTTCTGAGTTCTTTCTTTGCGGTTTGTTGGTGATAGAAAAGTCTGTTTATCTCGCTCAGTCTGTTGTCGACAGGATTTAATGTTTCCGAAATCTCCTGAGCCGACAGCTGCAGAGTCTTAGAGTGTTTTTAACTCCTTGGAGCATCTTGGGGACCAAAAGTGACATTTTGTTTTTTTTTATTTGTTTGCCTCTCGATTTTGTCACTAATTTTTTTTCGTTTTTACTTTCTTAATTCCAAAAGCCTATCCATTGGAAGTGTTTAGATTTGGAGATTTGCATCACACAGACACTTGTTAACCTTGTGACCAAATTTGCCCCATTGACTCCCATTATAATCACATATTTGTTATAAGTTATAATCCTAACATATTATAATGCTTTTTTGTTTTATACCTAATAGATCTTAGCTTTTACCTTCAAACTTTCAGGAAAATATGTTTTAGGTGCAATGACTCCCATTACATAACGTTTCGGAGAAATTCCAGTGAAGGCCTGGATTTCTTACCTCGCAAAATGCATAGAAATAACAAAGCTGTTATTGACATGGTCAAGGCTGTTATATCTTTATCAAAAAATATTTCACTTTGCACCTCATTTTTGGCAATATTGCATATTTGGTGTTAAGAATGTAACGATTACCGGTAAAATGATAAACCGCTGTAAAATGTCTGATGATTAGTACTATCGTTTCAATTTTTAATTACCGTTAAAACCATATTTGATTGCCGCACTCTGGAAAAGCTCACAGTGATACTGCTCAGTGCTGAGAAGAGCAGCCGCACGCAGCAGTCCTTCAGACACATGCTCACTGCGCGGTAAAGAACTTGTAAACATGGCGGAGGGCAGTTCTGCCGACCGTGTTGCAGAGATTTTTTCCACTGTCAAAAAAAACAAAGTCTGAAGTCTGGGTGATCTCAGCTTCTACAAAAGGGTTGCGAGAGTTGCCAGAAAACTTTTATGCATCCCAGTAGTGAACAAAGTCAGCAGCAGCACCTTATGGTACAGAAAACAGACAATCAGCTCATTTGATTAGTTTAGATATTTAATGTTTTTTTAAACACCTGAACTTCACCACTGTTTACGTGGTTGTTTTGTTTCATATAGTCGTGTTGTTCTGTTTTATATTTGTAGGAGTAGAACTTCTTACAGTTTGCACAATAATGAATGTCATTTTATTGAAATTTTATTTATTTGTTATTATGCTAATGTTTATGCCACTAGCACATTACTTTGTACTTTGTTGTTACTAGTGTTGATTACCTCTGGCTCTTTTAAGGCCCCATCTTTTTTAAGCTTATCATTCCTCTGTTATTTAAGGTTAAGGAAAAGCAAATTCTGCCTGTTATTTTGATTGTTTTTCCAAAATAAAACTTTGTTAAATGATTTCAGGGCGTGTATAAGTACTCCTCAAACATTTTGAACATATTTCAACAATACTGTGATAATATTGATAACTGTGATCTTTTTGGTCACAATAATCATGATGGGAAATTTTCATATCGTTACACCTATTAGATGTTTTTCCCATTGAAAAAAATCAGCAGTTCTCATGACAAGACACAAAAACCTAAAAAAATATTAACAAATTATAATATAATTTATATCTATGGATAGATCTGAAGTTGCTGACAAGATGTGATGCTTTAAAAGTAATAAAAAATTCATGTATCACGTTTTTATTGCACTTTTATTAGACGGACCATTTGTGTACACGAGGTTAACGAATGTAAGTAAATTTTAAGATATGCACAAGGGTTAAAGGAGCTCCAATGAAGAAGAAACTCACAGACACATCCCACAATCCTCTTGTTAGTGATGGAGGGGACCAGGTGGGGGTCCGCCTTGGAGCCGGCGTACTCCTTTGGTCTCATCATGCTGTAGGGGTCCTGAGGAAGATGAGGAGGAGATGAAGTCAAGCAAAGTGATGAAAGTGTCACTCAGGTGTCATCGTTCATGAGAAGCTTATTTTCACAAGCATATTGACAATTATTCAGATCCCAACCTCTAAAAATCATCTGAATGTTCTCAGAGATATATGAGGAGTGACGCCTGCTGACTGCAGATAACAGACTTGCTGATACCAGACCTGTAGTAACCCTAAACCACCTTCAGATGTTCATAATTCACCATGAAGCCCTCAGTCTCTTCTGGATCTTCTAAACAGAGTAAATATGACCTGAAAGAAAAAAGAGAGAGAAGATCTCACCGTCCCCTCCTTCATGGCCTTCATGATGATCTTCTCCAGCCCGGTGGCCTGCTCCTCATCAGTGGGAATACCTGAAAACACAAAACAAGAAATAAAAGGACCAAAATGAGTAAGATAACCTGGACACGACTATTCAAACTACAATAACCAGGTTACACCCGACAAAGCAATACGACAGATTTCAGGTAATATCAGATATTTGAGATAAAAATAAAAGGTCTTAAACACGATGACTGTCCGAGAAAAAAACACATATTATGATTTTATTAAACAACATCTCGTGACCTCTCACAGTTACCGGTGTAGAATCTTAGCATTAAGCTAGCTTTTGTAGTTCTTCCGCCTGAACTCGGCTCGGTCCTGATGCGCTTTTTTGATCATAAATCATTACTAAATACGATTGACACGAGTTTAATGGTTCTGTGCTCACCTCCAGCAGACATCCCGCGGGTCAGAGCCGGTACCGGGGCGGCCCGGCAGGTTCTAGCGGCTCTGAAAGCCGAACGGAGTAGTAACCTTGCCGCCATCTTCTTCTTCTTCTTCTGCTTCTTCTTCTTCTGCTTCTTCTTCTTCTTAATTTCCTTTTTTTGGCGGTTGGCAAAACAACGTTTTATTATTACCGCCACCAACTGGTCTGGAGTGTGGATCTGGATCTTAATAATACTAATGAAAATTAAAAAAATATATAATAATAATAATAATAATAATAATAATAATAATAATAATAATAATAATAATAATAATAATAATAATACAATAAAAAATAAATTAAATTCATTCTATTAACTCTGTCTTCCTAAGGAACCTGATTATTAATCGATGTGACTCTTCCCCAGAATTCCTCTGTATCAAATCCTTTAGATTGCATCATATCTTTATTCTACTTAAATTCCTTATAAGGTTCCTCCTTTCAGCCTCATATTTTGGCCACTGCATCATTATGTGTTCTAATGTTTCTTGACTATTGCACTGATCTCATGTTCCATTGTTGTGTTTTCCTATTTTATGTAATGTACTATTCAGTCTAGTATGTCCAAATCTTATTCTAGATATTATGGTTTGTTCTTCATGAGTTCTGGTAGTTTTTCTCATTGTCCCTCCATAAAACCATCTTCCCGTTTTCTCCTTATCCCATTGCTCCTGCCATCTTTGTTTGATCTTATGTTTAACTATGTTCTTTACTTCTGTTTTGCTAAATGGAACTATAATATCCATTTGCTGCTATTCTGTTGCTCTCTTAGCGCATTTATCCACCATTTCATTTCCAACTACTCCTATATGGTCTGGTATCCATACTAATACTACATCTAACCCTAACATTTGAATCCTAAACAATGTTTGTTTAATTTCCATTATCAATCTTGTCTGCTGTCTGAATGGTTGTGATCCAAGCTGATAATGGCTGAACTTGAGTTTGAACCTATAATTGATCTGAGTGGTCTCACATCTTCTATCCACTGCAGTGCTACCAGAATTGCTAACATTTCTTATACCAACAGTCCGTCCTCAATGCGCTTTAAAATTTTGACCTTAAATTCTGGGACAATTATTGAAACACCCACATTGTTTGCTAGGTTTTTTGATGCATCTGTATAAATTTGTATATAACTATAGTATTTCCTTTCAATATAGTCTTGTATGATCTGTGGCTGTCCTATGATCTCTTTATTTTTGGTTTTCTTCTCCAGTAATGTTAGATCTACCACAGGATCTGGTAGAAGCCATGGCTGAATTGTTGGTAATGGTATTGTTTCTAGCTCAACTGTCCATCCAAAACTTTTTATCTTTCTTTTCTCCTTTTCCCAGCATGGTTTTAGTACTTCTTGAGTTGGGTGATTCTCCTTATTTCCTTTTAAATTTATCCAATAATTAATAGCCAACTGTGTTCTCCTCAGTTCTAAGGGCATTTCTCCCATTTCTACTTGTAATGCTGCTGTTGGGGTTGTCCTGATGGCTCCTGTGCATAACCTTAATGCTTGATATTGGATCCTATATAGTTTTGCCAGTGCTGTATCTGCTGCTGACCTAAATATCACACTTCAATAATCTAATACTGACCTTATTAATCCAATGTAAATGTTTTTTTAATGCCACTCTTTCTGCTCCCCAATCCCTTCCAACCAGACACCTCATTATGTTTAGCACTTTTTTGCATTTGTTTACTATTTTTTCAATATGTATATTCCATGTTAACTTTTCATCAAACCATATTCCTAAAAACTTTACGTTTTTGACTCTTTCTAGCTCATGACCATACATTTTTAAAGTTATATTCCTTCTTATTCTTTGACGTGTGAAGAACACTGTTTTTGATTTGTCTACTGAAAATTTAAACCCCCACTTGTATGCCCATTCTTGTATCTTAACAATAGTTTCTTGCATCTTTTTAACAATAAATTCTATATTTCTCCCTCTTTTCCACAGCGCTCCATCATCTGCAAAAAGTGAACAACCCATTCCTTTTTCTAGGCTACTAAAAACATCATTTATCATAATTGAAAATAGCATAGGACTCGTGATGCTCCCTTGGGGTGTTCCATTTTCTATACCAAAATTTTTTGAACAGTGTTTACCTATTCTGACCTGAATCTTTCTTCCATCTAAAAAGTCCTTAATCCAACTATACATTTGGCCTTTAATCCCCAATTTTGCTAATTTAATTAATAATCCCTCCTTCCATAGCATATTATATGCCTTTTCAATGTCAAAAAATACTGCTACTACACTTTCTTTATTGACCTGAGCTTTCTTTATTTCATTTTCTAGACATAGTGCTGGGTCCATTGTATTTCTGCCTCTTCTGAATCCACTTTGTCTTGCTGAAATATATGCATTCTTTTCCATATAACATGTTAATCTTGTATTGATAATTTTTTCCATTATTTTACATGTTATCTTCGCTGTTGACTTCATACACATCTATAAGAAAGACAAGATGACTCTATGAGGTGGAGTCAGCGGCCATCTTACTACAGTACACCATTCTGGTTCGCTCTATAGTAGCTGATGGGAGGCGAGTAATCTGCATGATCAAAAATACTCTTAACTTGCTGAAATCTTGACAGATTTACAAATGGTTTAGTTTATTACAGACCAAAAACATCTAAAATGGAAACATGAGGCAGAAACTTATATTGAAAATAAATATTTATATATGTTATTGTTATATGTTACTATAGTTATCCCTATAATAGAAATATTACTAACATAGCATGATGATTAAATGTTGGACACTACAGGCCAAAAGTTTGGAAGCAAGGCCATTACAGGCCGAACAGTTGGGAGTAACTTCAAGTTTTTGTTCACAATGCTTTTTTTAAAATCCAGCATGAGTTGTATGTATTCTGGGATCAGTGGCGGCTGCTGGTCTTTCAAGGAGGGGAAGCTCATTTTTCTGGCCTACATCATAATTGTATCTGTTTATTAGTATGTAACAGAACAGAGTCGCCAAACACAACGGCAGTCGTTTTTAACAAAGACAAAAGTCGCTGAGGATCGGTAAAGTCTCCGGAGCGGTTAAGAACAACGGAATGAATAACTTGGAAAATGCTCTGGTAGATGTTTTATTCTTCAAGATCGCTGATTCGCTTGTTTAGCTGTCAATCAAAAAAGGATTTCGCCTCAGACAGCTCATCCAATCATGGATGCAGAAGCTCGGAGTCCGGGAGAAAGTCGGGACCGCCCTCTCGCCATAGAACTCCAGTGAAGCTGGGCTTCCGATGGGCGGGACAAAGCCCAGCATTTATCCAATGAGCGTCTAGTTTCGCTGCTGGAACAACCCACTTTGAGCTTCCACATTGAAGTCAGCAGAGGCCCAGCGTCCGGCTGTTTAAAGCGCTGAGGCACTGCGAGGATGAATGAGAACGAAGTTATGCCGGTTACCTGTGATTATCAGCTTCTTATCACAGTGTCTGAACAAAAGATGAAGGCTTTCTAGTGCGTATTTAGTTAATGAAATGTACACACAGCAGTCCGTATTTCACCACTTTTTCTTTTTTTTGGGGGGTGACATTTTAAGGGAAGCCGAGCTTCCCTTGCAGTCTTAGAGCAATTGCCACTGTTTGGGATGTATTAACTCCATGATCAGATGTTGTTTTCATGGAAATGCACCATTTTACTCCATTTACCTTTAGATATACATTGATGTTGACAGACCGTTGCTAAATATATGTCAGCAAAAGATAACAAGGGCTTAGTTTTAGGGTTGAAAACATTTGCAAGAGTCACAACTTCAGTGCAAAAGCAAAAAAAAATCACAATTGGATTATTCACTTTAACTTTTTGGCTTTTGAGAGTCTGCTTACAAATGTCTGCAGTGGCCTGCTGGTTAAATAAGAACTGAGGGAAAAAAAGTCAAAACTCTTGATTCTTCCTGGCTGAACTGTTTTAAAAATACTGGTCTCTACTTCCAGCCCTTGAACTTACACTTGGTTTGTGAATTGTCTTCATATTTTACATTGATCCGTAAACAGCTGTCCTCAATAAACAACTTTTTAGACAAAAACTAAAGACAGTTGTTCACAAAATTTAGACCCAAGTCAACCGCTGTAATTCCTTAAATTTCACACTTTCAAGAAAATCAATTATAGCTCTGAGAAATCAAAGCAGCCTTTTCTGCCTCTTCCGGGTAAATCTCAGCCAATCACACAGGAACATTCAACACATATCTGTAAAATCAGGTTAAAAATGTGGAAACAACAGGGCTCAACGAAATGATTCATATTATTCAGATGGAAAAGATATGCTTCCTCAGAGCCAGTACACGAACCTAATTCCTGGACATTTGGGGCCCATTGACCATCTTAAAAGCTAGTAATTGCTCATTTTGACTGTATTGTGTTATCTCTGTAACACCCAATCAGGTAATATTGTAACAACAAAATGGTACACAAACATGCATAACTCTTCTCTTTTATTGGGCAGCTCCATGGTTTGTTTCCTCTTTGTTGTTCTGTTTAATTTTGCTTTTTTAATTTTGTCTGTTGTATGCTTTGTATATCTGAAAATTTGAAAATATATTTTAAAAAAATGTGGAAACAACAGAAACACAGGAGATAAATATCAGAGCTGACTTTATTTTAAGGTTAAAAGGAGTTATAACTGTGTAACAATGTACAGTACGTGAGTGAATGTAAACTGCAGCTGAGTGGAAATGTTTCAGAGAAACTCTTGTGTCCCAAACCACATCTGATCCCTGTGTTCTTTGTAACATGGAAAGAAAAGACTGTTGAGGTAAGCGAGTCAAGGACCAATCAGACGAGAGCTAATGGCCTAAGACCAGGAAGTAGACTGAGCCGCAGAGCTCAGGAGGTTTCTCTGGTAACTGGTTAGTTAGTGGGGGAGCTCGTGGGGAACCAGTTTGTAGTGGGAACCACAAGACGGACAGCGCTGGGCCTCGCCCTCATGAAGCCAGAACCAAACCACAGCCGTGTTGTCTTCTTCACCTGCAGGGAGGAAACAGAGTGAGAGATGCAAACAGTGAACCAGTGAGAGAAAACTGGAGGAAAACCAGTGAAAACATGAGCCTCCAGTTTAGATTGAACATGAAAAAGTTCAGACACTTTTCAGGTGTTTAAATTCAAGTCCGTTTTCCTGTCCACTCTGTTGTCGACAGGATTAAATGCTTCTTAAATCTCCTGAGCCGACAGCTGCAGAGTCTTAGAGTGTTTTTAAAGGAGCTCTATGAAGAAGAAACTCACAGACACATCCCACAATCCTCTTGTTAGTGATGGAGGGGACCAGGTGGGGGTCGGCCTTGGAGCCTGCGTACTCCTTTGGTCTCATCATGCTGTAGGGGTCCTGAGGAAGATGAGGAGAGGATGAAGTCAGGTCAGAGATAAAAAGACCTATTAATGAGATTATTTTGATGAACTATACTCAACGTTTTAATTTTTCCCCCCTGAACCAAACTCTGAAACTTCTTTTTATCAGATTTAAAGACTCTTTTCTTTAAAACGAGGCTGTTGTTGTCGTACCGTCCCCTCCTTCATGGCCTTCATGATGATCTTCTCCAGCCCGGTGGCCTGCTCCTCATCAGTGGGAATCCCTTGTGAAAAACCAAATAAAGTTACTTCAGTCAATAAAACCTGGAAAATATTTATATTATCTGATCGAAAATTCTTTAGAAACTGTCATTTCGTCATGACAGTTTCTAAACAATTTATACCAATTAATTCTTATAAAAACAATAATAAATTTCATTTATAACGCGCTTTTAAAGGTGCTCTAAGACGCTTTACAAAAAAAAATAAAAATAAAAATTTAAAATACAGAAAATATTGAGTAATAAGACCAACAGTGCAGAAGGTAAAAAAAGACACAAAAGAACAGTTCACAGGTTAAAAGCCAATTTAAAATGGTTTTTAGGAATAATTTGAAAGTATGAGGGTCTGTACCCATACTGTAATTAGTCACTGATTTTATGTCACTTTTTCTTCTGTATTATCTGTGATCATTCTGAGGAAACGTTTCTCATACACCAAAACCTTTTTTCCTAAAGATAAAAATTCTATGCACACAAAATAACTTTTTACCTTGTAATACTGTAATACTGTTCTTCAATTGCATTTCTCTTTCTTTCTTTTTTACCGTAGTTCTTTATCTTATTTATTTGTTGTTGTTTTTTTGTACCCATTATGAATGCGTATGTTGTGTGTACTGCTGCTGTTAATTACTTAATTTTCCCACTGAGGGATGAATAAAGGAAATCTAATCTGATCTAATGACAAGTTATTACTGTACACACAAATGCAGTTATCTGTTTACAGGGTTTTTCCTGCGTTCAAAATTGCGTGGCGGCCGCCTCCACCTAATTTTGTGCTGCCCCCAGCCAGAGCGATTGATTTCGCTCAACACAGCGTAAAGCTCCAGCTGTGTTGATTGAGCGATTGATGTCCCTCTGCAGCAGCAACGTATTTTAACTGCAGTTGCAGCGTTGCGCCACTGTAGAGGCGCTATATCAACAGCAGTGCACCGGAAAGACCTGAAGCATCTACCGAAGAAGAAACGGATCAAATCAAGTTTTTTTCCCGCTAGTTGGTGCTATCGGCGTCCTGATTTTCCCTGGCGGATGGTACAAACAGGTAAATACTGCTTGTCTTTTTTACATCCAAGCATGACGTGTTTATTTAAAAAAAAAAGTTTCCTCCGTTTTTAGCGTTGCAGTTATGACAGGCAAAATCAGCCAGTACTTTAAAAAGCGACCTCGCGAGGAGGAAAGTCAAGAGTCCAGGTGAAACACAGCAGAGAAAAAACGTAACAGGCAGTTAAAATGCTATAATTCATGGTGGTGACAACGTGGAAATTTGTGTCAGGTCTGAAAGTACTTAACAAGGGACTGGTGATCGCGAGGGTCAGAATGCAGGACAGGACGAGTCGGCGAGGCGAGGGTAATTAATTAATTAGTTTCCAATTAGGAGCATAACAACGCAAAGCCAACGGGTACGTAGTTTTTATTCCTCTTTCCAGATCTTCTCAAAAACACAGAGCCAGTGGCTTTGACAAGCAGTGGCTCAATCAATTTACCTGGCTCAGGCATACTGAGGAAGGCATGCACTGCTATTTATGCCAAAAGCACTGTGCCCCAACACAGCAGGCAATTGCTGCCTCCTTAGTGAGACAGCCATCAACCAACTACAGGCTGGACACATTAAAAAGACATGAGGTGACAGCCATTCACAAAGCAGCAGAAGAGAAGGAGAAGTATATTAAAGATGTTAGTACCTAAAAACACTCAACTAATAAAGTTACAAAAACTAAAATAACAGTTTAGATAGTTTAAGAAATAATTGGTTGTCGTTTTTTCTTTAGGGAGGACACTGCAGCGTATACATATATATAATATATGATTGAAAACACTATCACTCTTCATGTCTGTATCAGAATAAAAACAAAAATACTTAATGCATGATGAATTGTTTTGTTTAAGGTGAAGACACCTCTGTGGAACAGACTGAAGGAGAGGCACTTGGATGTCTGTTGTAAGGTGGCCGTTGATGGACCAGACAAGGAGGCCTTGGACTACAAGGAGTGCATGAGGAGGTTCTACAGAATGAAAAAGAGGAGGCTGAAATGTTCTGTCTGGTTGTGAGATGTGTGGATGAAGTGTACTTTCAATTTAAAGTTGCCAGCTGATTTGTGTATGTATATAGTTTTAATAAATGAATGCTGTAACATGATAATGGTCACACTCTTTTTTGAACTCTTAACTTTAAGTATGTTGCCTGTAAAAGAAAGTGAGTCGGTTGAATTTACAAATACATGCACGTCATGGCGCATGGTCAGGATGGTGCCATCTCTGCCTCAATTTGAGCCAGGAAAAACCCTGGTTTAACATGCAGCAACTACGGGTGCTGCTCAAATAATTAGTCTGTCCTGAAAAAGTTTAGTTAAAAAAGTAAAAATTCCAGATATACTAGACTCACTGATTTGTTTTCATTCTCATGATTACTTCTTACAGCTCAATTTAAAACCCAGTCTAAAAACACAAGAGTATTGTGTTAAAGTCTGTTTTCTTATCAGTTCTTTCAACCCTGAAAAGACCCTGATCAGCTGATTAACTCTGAACACCTGTAAAGAACACAAAACCACAATCACAGTTCAGGCTGTGAACCCCCTCTACAAGGAGGCTCAGCCACAGAAGGTCCCTGCTGTAAAGTCTGGCTGTTCACAAAGTCTGTTTGAAGCAGATTTTATTTAAGTTGAATGAAGAGGAAAGTAAGGAAGTAAATGAGACAAAGAAACAGAGAGAGGACTGATAAGCAAAGCAGATTCAAGAACTTAGAGGAGCTTCACGAACCCTCACCCTGACTGTGACTGATGGAAGAATAAATGAGAATAAATTTTCAGAGGGTTGACGCTTCTATATATAAACAAAAGTTACTTGTTTGGTAATATAAAAAAATATTTTCCTGAGATAGTGGGCTTTATTTATTATAACTTTTCACCCATAAATCATGGTTATTTCAAGAGGATATTTGGCAGAGCCGGCCAGCAAGCAAAACACGTTTACGGAAGAAGTCACGTTGATGGCTATCAGACACCAATGTGAAGGCCGCTTACGGGAAATGGGACTAATGACGTCATTGGGGATGTTCAGTATAAGAGGGAACAGTTATATGAATTCAGGGGATTGTTTGGGCTTCTGCTGTCTGTCTGATCGACATGAGCTGTGGTTGATGCTGTAACCAAAATAAAATCCCGCAAGAGGCTGCCAGCTTGATTCTGTCTTCATGGGGTTCATTTTTACACCTTTGCATCTATGAAATATACTATATTAGCTTAAATCATCAAATTCTTCTTCTTGTTAGTATTATTATTATGATTATAACAACATTCATTTAGCCAGGTTCGTCCCATTGAGATGCAAGATCTCTTTTGCAAGAGAGACCTGTCCAAGAATGGCAACACATACAGTTTTAATACATAATCACATTAATCATATAGAATACAAAGAATACAAATGATAATTGAATTTTCAAAATTAGTTAAAAAATTAACAAGATTAGTCAGACATTTTCACTCCTGAATCCTGGATGTAATGGGATTGATCATGGATTTAAAAACATTCAGAGACTTTGGAGTTTCAGGTCTGATTTATACTCAGAGTAGAAAATCTAACAACTTTCTTCCTCATTTCTGTTCTGACCTTAGGAACAGTAAAACAATAATAATAATAGAAAAAGGTCTTTAAATACTTTACAGTGTGTGTGATGAGTCTTTTATATTGGAAGTTTGACTTCTGGGTTAAAATACGGGATAAAACTGTAATTTTTTCCCAGTTTTATTATTATTATTATTATTAATGTGTGTATTTTGCATGGAGTATGAGGTTGTCTGCTTTGTTTTCATTGCTTTAAAATGAATAATTAAAAAGAAAATAAAAACAGTAAAGTCCTGGTCGTTAAACGGGACGGTCAGTTCTCTGTCCTTGTCTGGATGACACATTAAAGTTCCGAGATAGTGGACTTCATTGTTTTTTATTTAAAATGATCAAATTCCAACAAAAAACTCCTTTAGATATTTTACAGTATGTGATGAATATTTTAATGGAGGTTTGACTTTTGAGTTAAAATACGGGATAAAACTGTAATTTTATTGTTTTCCATCTCGTTATTATTATTATTATTTATTTATTTTAAATATTATTGTGTGTGTGTGTGTGTGTGTATATTGTATGAGGTTGTCTGCTTTGTTTTCGTTGTTTCAAAATGAATAATTAAAAATAACGTTAAAATAAAAACAGTGAAGTCCTGGTTGTTAAACAGCAGAAGTCTGACTGTAACGGTCAGTTCTATGTCCTTGTCCGGATCAAACTCTCTTTCCCGTCTTATTTCTCCTTTCTTTTTTAATTCAATGACCCATTATAGTTCCGTCCTTACCTCCAGCAGACATCCCGCGGGTCAGAGCCGGTACCGGGGCGGTTCGGCAGGTTCGAGCGGCTCGAACAGCCGTGCGGAGTAGTAACCTTGCCGCCATGTTTGCTTCTCTGTGCTTGATAATCGATGGTCGCGTGAGAGTGACGTTATAAGTAGCTCAAGTCGCCGGGTATGACGAAGCTGCGTCCTTCAGACCAGTTTGTTTACGTTTTTTGTAAATTTGTTTTATAATTATTCATTTTGGCTCCAATATAATAAACTGATTGTTTATTTGGATAATATATTGACAGATTATGGGATTAAAAATCTCATTTCAAACATCTCAGTCACTACAATTAAAGGGATATTGCGGCATAAAATTCATTTAGGGTCAAACACACCGTAACACCAAGTTAGACACCCCCTCCAGAGACAAATGTTGCCGACCACTTGCTTCTCTAGTTATACCAACTTTAGTAATGACCACAGGATAGAAATACACAGCGGTGTGAGGAGCCATAAACAAACCCTAACCAAAACGCCACTCTATAGCCACAAATAATGCTCAGAGCAGCACCTAACTTCATCAACAGTAGATATAGGGTCACAGCCATAGTACTAGCCACCAAACATCTTTTTAACTTTGACTAATTTCTCTGGCAAAGAGACTAAACACAACTCACCTACTCTCTTCCAGCAGCTGCTTGTTTGTAGCGAGACCTCAGGCCAGTCCATTATGGACGACAGCGGGGTGACGCAGTTCAAGGAAGAACATTCATGATCATTTCTTCATGGAAATACAATTAGACCGAGACACTAAGGCAAAAGAACTACCGCGTCTACAGTGCTAAATGATTAATATGGTGATTATTACTTCAAGGAAATGATAATGAAATGATCATAAATGTTCTTTCTTGAGCTGCGTCACCCCGCTGTAGTCCATGATGGACTGGCCTGAGGTCTCGCTACAAACAAGCGGCTGCTGGAAGAGAGTAGGTGAGTTGTGTTTAGTCTCTTTGCTAGAGAAATTAGTCAAAGTTAAAAAGATGTTTGGTGGTTAGTACTATGGCTGGGACCCTATATGTACTGTTGATGAAGTTAGGTGCTGTTCTGAACATTAGTTGTGGCTATAGAGAGACGTTTTGGTTGAGGTTTGTTTATGGCTCCTCAGACCGCTGTATATTGCTATCCTGCGGTTGTTACTAAAGTTGGTTTAAATAGAGAAGCAAGCGGTCGGCAACATTCATCACTGGAGGGGGTGTCTAACTCAGTGTTACAGTGTGTTTGACCATAAATTAAATTTTACGCCAGAATATCCATTTAAAAAAACTGTTATCACAGAACCATCTGAACACCCAGGTAATCTGAAAAGCAACAATCCTCTGAACTCGAATCTTCTTTAAATCTTTTTATTTGATATTTGAAATGATATTTGAAACATTTAATCTCTCCAGTGCCATTAGAAACACAAAGAGTCAAAGCACCTGAACCAAAATCCCAGGGACTGAAGCATCCAGAAAATTGTTTCTACTTTTTTTGTGTCGACAAAGACTTCAATCTCAAATTTGAGCATAAAATTAAACAAAAATATTGACATATTTACTGATTATCTGACAGTTAAGATAAGAATAACAGAACACTTTAATGAAGCAGAATCTTTACACCTTGTGTGCCGCTGAAAAAAATGAGTCTTTACCAGCTAAAATAAATTCCTGTATTGTAATTTTACAAAACTCAGACAGACAGCATGAAAAAAAATCCCCAAGTTTTAATTTGACAGAGATGTTTGATGTAAAATAAAAAATAATCTAGTTTTCCTGATCTGAAACCTGATGTGATATTTCCAGTTTTATAAAGTGATCATTAGAGCAGAGATAAAACTAAAGAAGCTCCACATAATTAGCAGGGAACATGCCGTAGTGTCCGTTCGGCCCGAAACCTCTCCACCAACCCTCGTCCACCATCTCTATCCCCGTTATGATGTCATCAGGGTCAAAGGTTATCTCAGTGTCGTCAACTGTGGCGGAGAAAAGTGTTGATGAAACAACAAAACACACAAAAGAGAAGTCTGTCAGTGTTTGTGTACATACCAGCCTGGTAGTCGTACAGAGCTCTGGCCCTCATCTCCTCTTCTTCTCTGACCTTCAGGCTATTCTCTTCATCCTGAAATTTCAAACAAAATAGAAATAAATCAAACTTTAAAATAAATAAATCAAACCTGTCCATGCTTCTCCAGCACAAGTGCAAGTGAAGAAAGGAGAGCAGGGAGAGGTGTATCAGTGTTTGAAATGCAGAGGGACAGAATGACCATGACGAGAGGGAAATAAAATACAAGTCTTGAGGTGACAAAGGAGGTTTTATAAAAGCTGTGAAAAACTGAATTATGTGATTGATCTGCAACCTTGATCAAATGAAAGAGTTAAAAGAGATAAAATCCTATAATCTTTGATGACACTGTAAAAATACTTTACTACAAGTGAAATCTGGGGTTGACCGGATTATCAGAGACGAGGAGAAAGAGTGAAGCTGAATATTTTGTGTGGTTTTCTGCCTTTTTAAACTTTTTTTCTCTGATAATGTCACTATCAGAGGGCTGAGAGGGGAACAAAGACAGTTTTCACTCACTGCAGTTATGTCCTGGTAAAGGTTTTCATACAAGTCCTCCTCTGTCACGACTGGCTGTGGTGCATTATACAGGTCAACTTGATCTGGAGTTTCTCCTAAAAATAAAACATAATAACTGTTAAAAAACTCTCAAACCACTCAGAGACAAATGAAAAAAACCTGACATTTGATCAAATAAAAAACATCAGTGATTCTTTTCATGTATAAAGTTTTGTTCTCTAAACTCTTACATGTTCAACCAAAACAGTCAGATAACTCTAACATGGAAGTAAAAACTAAGATATCGTTTGTTTTATGCGACAGTTTCAGGAGTTTGTTTTGGAGCGTTTTTGAAGAATTAAGTCGTGATTGATATCATCGTACCTGAGGGAGCTTCATCTGCATCGTCATCAAACTCATCTGACCACTCCTCCTGTGTGTCAGCAACGCCTGTATGGATCAAAGTCTGTTTTAGAAATCCTAAAAAGAGTAAAACTGCAGAGTGAAATGTTGATAATGGTTTGCTAATTATTGCAGATAGTGGAAATTCAACATTTCAAATTCTGAAATTGTAAAATTTTGTCATTTCATGAAAAAAAATTGTGCTTGTCTTAGACTTGATGCCTGTTTGAACTCCACCCTTCCCTCCAAATATGGTCATGCCGCCTGGCCCCATCAAAACATCATAAACCAATGAGGTATCGTGTTACCAGCAGCCCCTGATTATATGCCTTTATGTGTTTTTGGCAGCAGAACAGGAAAGGTCTTCGTGTCTGACCTGCAGGTATAACAGGTGAGCCCGTGATCTCTGGAACAGGTGAGCCTGCCGTATCTGGAACAGGTGAGACTTTCCTGTCTAGGACAGGTGAGCCTGTGGTCTCTGGGAGTGTTGTGGAGATAGCTGGAACAGGTGAGTAAGACAGCACAGGTGAGGCAGGTGCGACCGGAGATGGTGGGCTCATGGGTAAGACCTGGACTGCGGCTGGACCTGGTGGAGACCTCGGCCGCACCGGTGACTCTCTGTAGAAGGATTGCTGGGCAAAAAATGGACTCTGCAGCTTCCCTGAAAACAAGAAAACAAATCACACCTTATGCTGCGTTCAAGTTACCTCAGAAGTCAGAGCTGAAAATGACGTCACACCCGAGTTCCCAGTGTTTCAGTTACCAAGTCGGAAAAAAGCAAAATTCCTTATCTGAATATAAGGCAAGCACTAAAATAACTTTTGTAGATGTAGCCTTCTGTTTCAGGCCTCTGATTTTGCTTTTTTATGACCTGGTAACTGAAACGCTGGGAACTCGGGTGTGACGTCATTTTCAGCTCAGACTTCTGACTTCCGAAGTAACTCAAACACAGCAATAATTTCCTTCTTTGCTGATTACTTGTTTTTGATTGGTCAATCTCCATAAGAGTGGTGAGGATTATGAAAAGCAAAGCACCTCCTAGGACGTCTTTATCACACACATCAAATCTGACCAATCTGGGGACAGAGGTCCAGCACCTCTGCCTGTTGACACTGTGGTAATATTTGTGTTTTCACCTGGTCGGGATGCAGCAGGAGATGGTCTGTCGTTGGCCTCAAAGCTCTGCTCCCTCTGTTTGAAAATGTCTCTGGGATTAAACGCCCTCTGAGAAATCAGGGATTTTGCTTCCTGGAGATTAAGGCATAAATTAAAGGGTCAATACAACATTTTAATATCAAACTTGTCAGAAAAAGAGACTTTCATAACATCAACACAGGCGTTTTCATCAGACTCTGTGACAATAAGCTACTTTCATATATTACAGGTTAATCTGAAAAGTTCTGTGTTCAAGAATCTCATTAAAGAAAATGTCAAATAGGAAAACAATGATATTGAAGGAGCTTTTATAAGATCCTTTATGGGCTATTTTACAGTTTGACTCACATTAGCTTTTTGCACAGACGCTGCCGCGCAGATTCCCGTCACTCTGGTTTCATTTTCCTGCTGCTGGTTCTAGAAACAGAGAAATGATCATCTCTTTAATTTAAAGGTACAACACACTAGATTAGGTTTTACTTTAACAAGGGTCTCATTGCTCTATGGTCATTGTCATCATGAAGTCAATATGCTCTCCCTCTCAATAATCTGTCTTTGCTGTTGTTTGAGGTTAATCAGTACCAGGATTTCTTTGAAAAGCACCAAAAACTAATGTCCTTATCTGTCTAATCTGTCTCCAAAGAGTCCCGGTTTCACAGTATCCATCTCTAATGATTCTGACTTTTAGGATATTTGACTCCACTGAGTCTCAGTTTTGACTGTACTGAGATTCAGTTTCTATGATTCTGTTGTTATAGGTTTTTCAGTTTCAGTTATTCAATCACATTGCTGACAGCTGGAATCTGTCTTCTTTCAGTGCCGTAGACCTAAAATTAACAGGCTTTACTTTGATTTGATGACAGTAACATTAAATTCAGAGAATATTTGATGACAGCATCGTCCCACCTGTCTCTGCTGCTCTCTCTCTTCTTCTTCTTCTCTTTGCTTCTGATAAAGCCTGAAATCCACAAACACAAACACAAAGCACTCATGAAAAGCTGCGACTCTTTTAACATTTGAGTTTTATTGTTATTTTGTCGGACTCACTTGTTCTCTTCGATCTGTAGCGCTCTCTCCTTCGCTCTCCTCTCCCTCTCTCTCGCCTGCTTCTCCTCCATCGCCATCCTCTCCTTCTCTGCCTTCTGTCTCTCCTCCTCCGCCCTCTGGGCCTCCTCTCGTCGACGGACTTCTTCATCCCTCTGAAGTCGAGAGTCTTGTTAGTTTCACATCAGATAAAAACCACAGAAACTACTTTTACAGACAGTCAGATACTCAAGAGTCAGACACCTGAGTTTTGGACCAGAAGTCATCCTTGTTGATTTGCTGAATCTCTTCCACGGCATTGACTTTACGATACACAGAACCCTGTCAGATAAGAAGACAACTTTAGTTTCCTCTTCACCACACAATGCTCGGCAACCCTTTACTCCTCTCCTCTCCTCATTACCAAGAGGAGTCATGACGAGACAACCAAGACCGTCTCCAGCTGTATAATGTCTTTGCTGCTTTTATGGCACATAATGGGAACATGCATTAGTAACATCTTATCTAAAGTGTTCAGTTAGTTTTCTACAAAATGCGTGTCAGTTACATGTAAGAAACCTTATCACTTCATTTCAGTCTTCAGTATGTTTCCTACATTTCCCATAATGCAACTCACAGGTGCCTTATTTCATCTTTGGCATCTTTTATTTGTTATTTCCTCCATCTGATCCTTTAAAAAGTCAATTATCTGCTTTCACAGGCCAAGAAAACTCATATGATCTATTCAGACATTTACTCCGTATGTTCACATTTCTTTTGTCTTTGTACATCTAACTTCAGTTTATTAAGACTCTCCACTGTGTTATTTTTATCTCTCTTCTCTTGAGGAGATTTTGGGGATGAAAACGTGTGAATACATAATTTTTTTGTACTATTTTAGAGACGCACAGAATCGTCTTTTACAATCTGCAATCACAATAAATCCATTTTATTCTACTCCGTCTTTTAGTGGTTGGAAACGTTTGCAGGAGAAATGCAAAATACAATCACTTACAAAGATGCATTCTTATTTGATTGTTTTTTTTATCATGTTTGGAGCGGGGGTTTTCTCACCACAGGTCCTCCAGGGGCTTCTTTGTAACCTTGTTGTTGTTTATGGAAGTTGAAGTTTGCTCCAGATGCTTTGGCAACTTTCGCCAGGATGGTCTCCGGCTCCACGTCTTCTTCTCCCCGAGCGTTTATGGTCACATGAGCTCCCTGTGGTCACAAACAACAGAGCAGGGAATCTTAAATTGGACGCCATTTTTACATTTTACAGTCTGAATGACAGAAAGGTGCAAAACATTGAAGAATCACTGGAGTGGATGGGATCAGCTCGTAGCCCTGAAAACAGTTTCGATGTCTGCAGCTCTGTATGAAGTCACCCAGACCCCTGAAATCAACACATTTACTGTATATTTAAGCATCTTTGCACCACAGCGAACCAGTGCAACAATCTTTACTGAAGTCCTCTGTCGAAGAAAAACCTCTCATCTGAAGATAAGTAGGTCTGCAGCAGTAAACGGTGGAATAACTCTGAACAAAGTCAACATTCACACAAACCAACAGGACTGGAGCATTTCAGAGTCACGCTCACCTTCAGGAAGTTGGCCATGGAGCTCACATGGTTGGCACATAAACCCTTTCTGGAGTCCTTCACACCTTCACCTGTCTGATGGGGGTGTACATTTTTTTATTATAAACGAACCACATATTTTCATTCATTTAAAAATAAAAAGAAACAATTTAATTTCAATACAAACATTTTCCTATCTAGAATGAAAGGGAGCAGAAAGAAGACTAATCTTATTTTATCTGCCTCTTTATCCCCAGAAATCTATTTACAAAGAACAAGCTTAAAATAATAAAATATATATGTAAAAAAAAGCAACAACAGCATAAACAAAACACAACAAATAAATATATAATAAAATAAAAATATAGCTAATGGCCATTAAAGACGGTCATATACCATTTAGTTCCCAAGTTACAATTCAGTTAATGCCACTCAAACAACAACAAAATTAGAATGGTATGACAATCAGATATAACTAACATATTTCCTTATATTTCCTCAACATACTGGCTTTAATTATTCTTTTAAATGTAATGTTTGACTTGGATTCTTTGATGTCTTTGTTCAGATTGCTCAACATTCCATCAATTTAGTCCTAAATCTTGTTTTTTTTAAAGATCTCTGTTCCTTTTAAATTAAACTTGCTTTCTCTTTTTTCAAATCTTTTCTGAATGTTGATTGGAAAGATTTTTTATGAGCTTTCAGCATAATTTGCATGGTTACTATGATCTACTAATTCATTAAATTTCAACAATTTTAACTGAAGGAATAATGGATTTGATGGATCTCTATATCGTTTTCTACTGATTATTCTTATTGCTCTCTTTTGCAAAATGAAAATTGACTGAGTATATGTTTTATAGGCATTTCCTCATACTTTGATGCAGTAGGTCAGATATGGAACAATCATGGTATTATTTAAAATGTACGATGCCTTGTTATCCAGTGAATCCTTTACTTTGTATAACAGAGCTATTGTTTTTGCTATTTTCGCCTTGTAACACACATAGACACACACTCTAACCCTTCTAATCCATGTCTGATCATTTTTTGTCATTAACCTGTGTGTGTGTGTGTGTGTGTGTGTGTGTGTGTGTGTGTGTGTGTGTGTGTGTGTGTGTGTGTCTTACCCAGTTAACAAGGACGTATTTGGGCAGACCAGAGTTCGGGTCCTGGACTCGACAGAAAGCGTACATCACCTTTCCGCTGTTCAGCTCCTCCACCATCTCCTCCAACCCACCATCTATGCCACACACACACACGCACGCACGCACGCACGCACACACACACACACACACACACACATGCATCACCACACAAAGTCCAGGAGTCTGCTGTGGTTTTACTATAAGACTTTAACTAAATTAAGTTATACCTCTTACCATGGTACTACATTCAGCTAACATACTGTTGTGTTTTTGCTGTAATATTTGCTCTGTAAGAAGTCCAGAATACGACAGTAAATAAAACAGCTGAAGCCAGGAAAACTGCTGTGCTTTACAGTTTTAATTAGCTGTCTGAATCTGAAAGTACTGTAATATATTAAATACAATACAAGCTAGGAATACTGTTGTACCTTCACTGAGATAAAGTTAGCACGTGAAGTACTTCATATGTAATACTTTAGCTGCATAAGGGGCGATCACCGAGGTACTTGTACAAATTAAACTTTAGGTAGCTTAAAATTTAGCTGGTCTTTTTCCTAGAATACTTCCTTGATGAAACCTGATGTGCTGTGAGACTTTTAGAGTGATACCTTTACTAAATAAATCTCACCTCCTTTCTCTGCCAGACGGATGTCATTACTGTTCCCCTCATAAGTAAAGAGAGCCCTGAAAACACAAACAGGCATAAAGATACAAAGAGTTAGGAGGTTATCACAGGGTCAACAAGACAGTTTAAGTCCGAGAGGTTATTTTCCTGTGGTTAGAAACTGCTCACCAGTTTGTGTCCGACCTGCCGTCCACCACTTCTTTATAAGCAGCCATGAGAGCTGGTCCATTCTTACTCAGATTAACAGCCATTTTAGTCCAGATTTCCTCATTCAAGGTCTGTAATCGAACACAGACTGAGATCCAGCTGAGTCTCCAGGGATGTGGATGTTACAGACAGCTACCCAGGACCAAATGTGATATTTTAATCCAGTTTTTGCCGTAAAACCTCCACGGTAACACAGCAAAACGACTGCGACTGTGATTTATTGAGATTTCCAGAGCTGCAGTCTAATGTGTCAAACCAGTTGGGGGAGACGAACCACATTCTTATAGAACTTACTCACCTCTCGCTTACACTCATCCTTTCATTAGCAGGACAATAATGATGTGTCTGGATAAGAAAAATCACATTTATTCACTTTATTCCTGGGTGTGGCCCCCTGTATGCGGCCCCACTCGGATAACAAAGAAACAAACGTATTAGATGTGTCTGTGTGTGAATGTGTGTGTCCTAACAGAAATGAAATGGGGTGTGATCCTTTGGTAAAGTGCAGCTGGAGACACAGAAGAAGAAAAAAAGCATGTTTATTAACTTCAATCAGAATCTATAAATTAAAAAATAAACTTGAATGGTCTTCATGCAAAGCTAGGCTGAGGTCTGGGCCTCCAGCTCTAATACAGGTGTGTCTGAGACCTGCATTCTCGTTAACGGCCAGCAGGGGGAGCCCACCAAAAAATCAGTCTGGTTGTATGGAACTCAACAAGAGAATGAATCTAATTCCTCCTGTAAGCTTTTTACTTTGTGGATCAAAAACATTCCAAATCCCAGCACTCTGGAACCCTCTTCCACTGCTGCCATTCAACAAAGTTTGGACTCCAAATCTGACCCAGAGAGTTAGTAAAGGGACTAAGAAATTCCCTAGCACCAAATAACAGGTAGATTTCTGGTTTTAAGTGGCCTTTGGGGAGAGTTAACAGGTGTCAGTGTCACAATTTGAGCAAGGGTGATGTCCGAAATGTGAAATTAGCGAAGTCAGCGGCCAGAGCCGGCGACATCGAAGGTAGTTTAAAACTGCTGGCAAAGGCTAAACGTAAATTCCATAAGACTGTAATACATGTTGGCGTTAATGACTCCTGACGCCGCCAGTCGGAAGTCACTAAATTGAACGTGGAATCGGTGTGTGAATATGCCAAAACCATGTAGGACTCCATGGTTTTCTCTGGTCCCCTGCCCGATCAGACAGCTGATGAGATGTGTAGCCATATCTCATCATTCAACAGCTGGCTGTCGAGGTGGTGTCCGCAAAATGGAATGAGCTTCATTGATAATTGAAAGTTGTTTTGGGGCAAGCCTGGTCTGATTAGTCAGGACGGCATTCATCCCACTCAAGATGGAGCGGCCTGTTTATCCAGAAATCTGGCTGATTTTATTAATCTGAACCACTGACAATTCAAAGCAGAGTTCAGGGAGCAGGGCCGCAGTCCTACATGCTGCTCTGTGCCTCCTTTAGAGCAGCTTCCCAGCCACTACCACTTATATACACAGACAAGGGAGCAGAGCCGCAGTGTAAAACACCCCTCTGTACTCTCTTCAGAGCAGCTTCCTAGCTACAATCAGTTTGATATAGAGATCAGGGAGCATAGCCGCAGTTCTACACGTTCCTCTGCACTTTTGTTAAAGCAGCCTCCTAGCTACTGTCACTTTAAAATAGAGATTGTGTCTGTCCCTCATCCTTTAATTCTAACCGATCGATTAACAAAGGAGTAAATAACAAGAACCTTACTAGAATTATAACTGCTAACATAGCTGGACCGAGTGGTAGTAAGATAAATGTGGTCTACTGAACATAAGGTCTCTAAGTTCCAAATCTGTGTTAATAAATGAACTAATCTCTGATCATCGCATTGATTTACTCTCCCTAACCGGAACTTGGCAGCATCAGGATAAATATGTCAGCTTGAATAAATCCACTCCTCCTAGCTACCTAAGCTTTCACATTCCTCGGGACTCTGGCCGAGGTGGCGGAGTTGCAGCTATTTACAGTTCCAGTCTTGGAATTAACCCAAGACCAAAACTGGATTATAACTCTTTAGAAAGTCTTGTTCTCAGTCTTCCGCATCAATCAATCAGTTCATCAAATTTTATTTATATAGCGCCAATTCACAACAGTCGTCATCTCAAGATGCTTTTCAAAGAACAAGAGCAGGTCTAGACCACGCTCATTGTTTGATGATCAAAAACCAACCAAAGATGGGTTTTGGCCTATCTCAACTAACATGAGTAACAGTGGCAAGGAAAAACTTCCTTTTAACAGGCAGAAACCTTGGGCAGGACCAGCCTCATGTTAGACAGCCACCATGCCACTGTTGGGGAGGAATGTAGAGAGAAGAGGGGAGAGGACAGGGGGAGAGAGAGAGAGAACAAGATAAGGGAAGGCGAGAGAGAATGAGTAACGAGAGGGAGGGGGAGGGAGAGAGAGTAGAGAATGAGGGTGAGAGAGAGACAGGGGGCAGCAGAAACAACAGCGACAACAAGAACAGCTCATGTAATGGTGAAACAAAAGAGTTCAGTTTACAGGGTTAGGATATGAGTGATTATGGACAATGTTAAATTAATTGAGTGTGATTACAGTTAGCATCCGCATCCAGCCTCAGAGACCATGAGACCACTGGTATTTGCTATAGTTTATCGCCCATACTCTGAGTTTTTGTCAGAATTCTCTGAGTTTCTATCTGATCTAGTCCTCCTTGCAGACAAAGTCATTGTCGTTGGTGACTTTAATATTCATGTGGATGTGGAAAATGATAGCCTAAGCATTTCTTTCTTGTCCTTGCTAGACTCAAACGGCTTCACACAGTGTGTACATGGACCTACGCACTGCTTTAACCACACACTCAATCTTGTCCTGGCTTATGGCCTCGAAACTGAAGCCCTGTTAGTCAGCTCATTAAATCCTCTATTATTTGATCACTTTCTAGTAACTTTTGAATTTGTGCTTTCAGGCTACTCTCCTCATAACAAAACAGTGCTAACTAGAAGGTTGTCTGAAAATGCTGTGACTAAGTTCAAGGAGGCAATTCCGTCTGCTCTTAATTCTGTGCTTGTGAAGAACTTCGCTGATAGCTCATACTTGAACATCAGTCCCTTGCAACTTGATCAGTTCGTCGATGAAACTTTAGGCACATTGCAATCAATTTTTGACTCAGGTACTCCTCTTCGACAGAAAACTCTTACACGCGAGAGGCTGGCTCCATGGTATAATGCTGAAACCCATGAGCTGAAACAGTTATTAAGAAAACGAGAAATTTGGCGCTCATCCAAAACAGCTGAAGCTTGTTTTCTCTGGCAGGAATGTCTTGATAAATATAAGAAGGCCTTACGATGTGCTTAGACAACTTACTACTCGTCTCTTATTGAAGAAAATAAGAGTAACCCCAGATATCTCTTCAGCACTGTAGCCAGGCTGTCGGACTGTCAGAGCACTGCTGAACCATTTATCCCATTAGCCCTCAGCAGCGACGACTTCTTGAGCTTCTTCAGTGAAAAAATCTTAAAAATACGAGGTAAAATTAGTAACCTCTTGCCTTCATCAGGTGTCTCTCTCTTAGATAACCCTAAACATGTTGAGGAGCCCCTAAGGCCTCTGTTGCACCTCAGTGACTTTGCACCTATTGACCTTCCTGAGTTAAAGTCAGTGGTGTTGGCAGCCAAACCATCTACGTGTCTTTTGGACCCAATTCCATCTAAACTGCTGAAGGAAACTCTTCCTTTGATCCATACGTCCTTGCTTAACTTGATCAACATGTCTTTATTAACAGGATATGTTCCCCAGTCTTTTAAAACTGCATTGATTAAGCCTCTCCTTAAAAAACCTACTCTTGACTCAAGCACCTTAGATAACTATAGACCAATATCCAACCTTCCTTTTATTTCTGAAGTCCTGGAGAAAGTTGTTGCGAATCAACTTTGTCATTTTCTTCATAACAGTGGTTTATTGGAGGATTTCCAGCCTGGATTTAGAACCCATCACAGCACGGAGACTGCTCTGCTGAAGGTGACAAATGACCTACTCATGGCTTCAGACAGTGGTCTTCTCTCTGTTCTTGTCCTGTTGGATCTTAGTGCTGCGTTTGACATGATCGACCACTGCATCCTGCTTCAGAGACTGGAACAATCTATCAGCATAGCAGGATCTGCTTTTTCCTGGTTTATATCTTATCTAATGGATGGATCCAAGTTTGTCCATGTTAATAATGAATCCTCTGTGCACACCAAGGTCTGCTACGGAGTCCCGCAAGGGTCAGTGCTTGGACCGATCCTCTTTACCTTGTACATGCTTCCTCTGGGTAAAATCATGAGGAAGTACTTGATTAATTTCCAATGCTATGCAGATGACACCCAGTTATACTTATCCATGAAGCCAGAAGAAGCAAACCAGGTTACCAAATTAGAAGCTTGTCTCAAAGATATAAAATTCTGGATGACCTATAACTTTCTGATGCTCAACTCAGACAAAACTGAAGTTCTCGTCCTCGGTCCTAAACACTTTAGAGAGGCATTCTCTAATAATTTAGCTACACTAGATGGCATCAGTCTGGCATCCAGCCCAGCTGTGCGAAATCTGGGAGTTTTATTTGATCAGGATTTGTCCTTTAGCTCCCACATTTAACAAATCTCGAGGATAGCTTTTTTTCCACCTGCGCAATATCTCAAAAATTAGACTCATCCTGTCTCAGAGTGATGCGGAAAAACTAGTCTATGCCTTTGTTACCTCTTGGCTGGACAACTGTAATTCTCTCTTATCAGGCTGCTCCAATAAGTCTTTAAGGACTCTTCAGCTGGTCCTAAATGCACCAGCTCAGGTATTGACTAGAACCAGAAGAAGGGAGCACATCTCTCCGGTCTTAGCCTCTCTTCATTGGCTCCCTATTAAATCTACAATTGAGTTTAAAATCCTCCTTGTGACATATAAAGCGCTTGACAGCCAGGCTCCATCATATCTCGACGAGCTTGTTATACCGTACTTTCCGTCTAGACCGTTACGCTCACAGTCTGCAGGCCTGCTCGTTGTACCAAATGTCTCTAAAAG